TGGATTCCCATGCCATGCTTGATCACTCTTGTCCCCTACATAATTTCTGATTTCATGCTTCAATTCATTTAATTATTACACTTAATTGCTTGATACCTCTTGTTCCCTTCACCCACAAAATTTTATACAACTTTCACAACCATAACATGCACCAATTGATGCTCCATCATTCACATTTGGAATCCCATGCCTTGTGTACCACATGTTGCTGCACCTTTGACCCATTTATTGACACATTTTCACCTCCCTTTCCATCTCTATGCAATGTACACAATCATTCATGCCCCCTAGCTACAAGACCACTCCATTTTACCCTTCACACTTTGCATCATCACTTCATTTTCACCCTTGGACCATTGCACACCACATACACTCTTTGCCGTGCATTCTCCCTAGCCTAACCTGATTCTCTAAGGTTTTTGGGGCCTATATATACATGTTTACACCCCTTGGCAAAGGGTTCACACTCTCATATTCACCATTCATCACAGAAATTCGTCCATACTCACCCTAGGTAGCAAAACACCCCAAAAACACCATTCTAGTGCCTAGAAAACATAACAGCCACTCCACCTTTTTCCACCCTCTTTGCCTAGTTCTCCACCACCCTCCAACCCTCAAACACTCCTCCACACTTACCCTAAACATTTCCCTACCATTCCCCATCCATTCTACATCATAAAACTACCCAAAAATCCATCCACAAAGCAATCTGCCGCAAGCAAGCAAAGGAGAATTCTTGGATGCACTTGCTACCCAAGTTGGAGCATTTTAGGTGTTTTCTTTCCTTTGATTTTAATGTCTAATTTTATGTATCTTTGCTTTGTGAGTATGAGGAACTAAACCCCTCTTAGTTAGAGGGTGATTCGAAACCATGTTCATACTTGCAATATGATTTGATTACATCCAGTTGTGATTCATAAGTTGTGAATTCAATTTACTTATCCAATCGTATAAAAAATGATTTGTGTATGTTGGTTGAGAGTGCACGTTTAATTTTCATGCATGAATTTAACGCTAGAATATAAGGGAGTTTCACCTAATCGTTATGAACTTATATTCACAAGTAGTGAAGGTTGCTAGTCACAATCACGTTAAGTAAATTCTTGGCATAAGTTTCATGCAAATCATAGTAACGAGTGCCTCGTCAATGCTTATGTTTTTCATAGAACTTAATGATTCGTGCTTGTATCTCTATTATGCAATTCATGTAGGGAACTTGTAGGGAATGTTTTGGGTTGTCGTATGCAATCATCCAATCCAATAACTTGTGGAAAAACTGAGGGTTAATTAGTGCAATTCACGGTTAATTTGGGGCGTTGAGTATTCATAGCTTATCGAAAAGCAACTGGAAATCGTTTTGTATACAAGTGTGACATGTGTGGAGAAGAACCTCCTAGCTAGCCTTCCATCCATAAGTTTCATTCAAATTCATTTTACAATCTGTTTTGATTCACTTAAATTTGTCTAAGAATTTGTTTACTTTGTTCTTGTCTTAATTTAATTATTTTCGTCCAAAATCAACCCCATCTTATTTCTTTGAGTCATATTAATTAGAACTTGTCTTAGATTATGTTTTTAAGTGTTTTAGTTCATTAGAAAACCAAAATTCGTCCAAGTTTGTGTTAGAGTCCCAAAACTGCCCAGATTGTGTGTTTAAGGTAGTTTTGAGTGTTTAGGGGCTGTTTTGAGTCTTTTGGTTTGTTTTAGTGTTTTAAAGTATAGTTTTGCATTCTTTGAGTCTAGTTAGTGTTTTAAACTTTGTTTTTACGTTTTCAAGTCAGTTTCCAAGTGATTTAGCAATCCCTTCTAATCCCCGGCCTAGAACGATCCCTACTTACATACTTTACTACAATTGATAAAAAGAGGGTTTAATTTGTGTGCTTATATATTTCGCATCAACTACCAAGACCTATCACCCACTGGCGAAACTACAAAGGAACAAGGTGGGGCGGCCGCCCTTCGGCTCGTTTGAAATCGCCACTGAAAGTCCGGATTCCGCCCCTCAGATCTTTCTAACTGCAGGAAACTAGGTATGTTTCTGGGTGTGCTGCTGCATTTATGGAAGGTTTGCTGCTTAGACGGATAGATGAGAAATAGCTAGAGAGACTGAGATAGAGAGCTAGAAAGAACGAAGCGAAAAGGGACTAAAAAAAATAGAAAAAAAATGATGATGTACTATGATGGTTAATATTTTAATAAAACTATACACACACACACACACACATATATATATATATACGTGACAACCCGTCCCAAATCTTACGTTTTTACAAAATTTAAAAGTGTGATTTTACGAAAATGCCTTTAGAGGCGAGGGTCTTGACATCCGTTGACCAACGTATAGCGAGGTGTATGAATTAATAATTAGCGTTTTCTTGAAGTACTCAACGCTACGGAATTATAAAATCGAGAAGTAATTTTGTTTAGTTGCTATTTATATATTTTATACATTTTTATAATGATATATTTTGTTTATCATTTAGTGATTTTAAAAATAGTTGAAGAAGAAGTGGAAGAATAAGGGGGGACGGGAGAGAGAACAGAGGGGAGGCTGTTGCCCAATCAGATGAGAGGAAGAGAGAAGACTGCCCAATCAGAAGCAAAAGCGAGGAGGGAAAGGAGGGAGAGTGGAAAGCGAGGGAAAAAGGGGGAAACGGGTTCCCAGCCCGTGACCCATGTACACCCATTCCAATTCTCCATATTTTTCGATGGTTTTCCACCGGATTTCTCACGAATTTGGACCAAGAAACCATTCCCAATCATCCCCCTAGTCCTTTTCTCTTCCATTCCCAACCAAATTTTATAGGATTTAAGCATGAATTCGAGTAGAACGAAACTGTGGGTTCCGAGGGTGCCATGACAAAATTTGACGATCGTGAAGGTAATCCAGCAAATTACTACCACCACTAGACTCCCCTAGAACCTAGGAACAAAATCCAATCAGTGGTGGAGGCATCGGAACACGTTTGGAGGTCAAATCGAAGCACACCCAATTTTAGGGTTCCAACAGGTTTTGATGAAATTGGAGCCTTTCCAGGCCAAATTGACCTTGGTCACAGGTATGAAAGTTGTTCTACTCATTGAGATATTCAAATCTGAAAATTTTGGTAATTTTTAGAGATAGTTGATTTTTCCGATGAGTCGGGGCGGCCAACCGTCACCCACGGCGGCACGTGTGGCGGCGCGTGGCCAGAGGGCCACCAATGCTATTTTTAGGCTATATTTGATGCCTTGAATTCAGTTTTGAGAATTGAATGACGTAGATTGATTGTTAGAACCAAAATTCTCTAAGATACGTTAATAGGTCATTATATGAATCGATGATCCGACCGTTGGATTGTCATCAAACTTTAATAGGTTATTATTCATAATATTTGAGGAATATAGGAACTTATGGATTGGGAGTCCAACATACGGATCTTCTCAAATTGGATTTGTAAGTTCGTAAAATAAAATGTTATCCGCCACTTGGTTTTGGCAATTGGCGAAGATCCGACCGTTGGATCGTTCCGAAACTTTAGTATGTTATTCTAGAATCATAATGTGGATCCTTGGAAGTTACGGATCAGAGATCTGATTTGTAGATCTTCTGGACCGAATTACAAAGACTCATGTGCGATGTAAGTTATGTATTGTATCAACGAGAATTCTAAGATATGGTTTGATAATTGGTCGCAGGCGCCGATCGTTTGTGATGTCCCGATATTTGTGCTAGGAAGTTGTAGCGCGGACTCCAGGTGAGTGGATCTTTCCTTGCTTATCATATTTTTCATGATTGATAATTCTATAAATGTTTTTAAATAAAACTGAGAAATTTATGCCATGACATATATATATTTGGGTAAAGTACAAAAAACTACCTCAACTATTGCCCTCAAAACACTTTCATACCTCATCTTTTAAAATTGACAATGTCATACCTCATCTTTAGAATTTGGTCCAATGTTATATCTCCGTTAGCTTGTCCGTGAATTGGTCAGTTAAATGCTGACATGGCTTGATCCGGGGCCCAGATCCTCGCCTAGATGGATTCCACGTGGCACCACACCCAATGTTTTCCCGCCAAATGGCATCCACGTCAAAAAATATAATTGGTTTTTTTTTTTGGTAATTTGAAATTCAAAATTTGAATTTGAATTTTCCCGTAAAAAAAAAATGTGATATACCATTTTAAGCACATATTATCATCCTTAAGCACAGATTATATCATCCTTGACCTCAAATTTGAAAAATCTCACCCAAAAATAATGATATAACCACAACAACAACAAAACAAGTGTATTCAAGCACAAACTACTCATCATTTGCAAGAAAAATATGAAATAGACCAAATTAAGCATAAAACCTGCTTAATTATCCAGAAATTGTTAAACATGTTCAAAAAACTAACAGAATTCATCAAGCATCTCCAACCAACATTACAAAACCTACTGAATTCATAATAACCTGCTACATCATCCATTCAACTCACAAAAGACCTCTTGGATGCATAAAACCTGTTCTAACTTTACAATTCCTTTACAAAAAACAACCATCTGTGAAAAAAAAGTGGTTGTGGCTGGGTTGGTTGGTATTTCTGTGCTTGGTGCCTTTGGATGATTCAGTTAGTGGATTGCTTGGTCTTTCTCTGCTTGGTGCTTCTAGGTGATTCAGCTACTGATTGTGATGCCTAAATCCAAAGTTCATTTATAGACCAAGCAAGCTTTTTAACTAAATCCAAATGTTTTACAGCTAAGGAAATGGTTAAGTTTTTACCCTTGTTTTCCTTGTCCTCTTTTTAGGTGCAGTTTTTCCTTGAGCAGATGTGGATGCCTACAAAGTAGAAAATGATGTTAAAGGATTAAGAATGTAATATGATGTTAAAGGATTTTAAAAACCATATAAAATAGAAAATGTTACCTGTTTGTCCCTTGGAGGAAGATTTCTATGATGGGTTCTTGCATTATGACCTTCCTTTTTGCAGATGGTACATTTCAAAGTGCATTGCCCTTTCCTTCCTAGCTTAAGTGGCTGAGGAGGGCCTTAAGGATTATTGGTTGGGTTTGTGGGAGTTTGTCACCCTCATTGTCCCTCTCAGCAGCTTCATTGTTTCTCTTCTTCATCGGCCTTCCAGGTTGCCTTGTATATGTAGGAGGCACTATTGGTGGTTTATCAGTTTCCTCCCACAAAGACATCTCATTCATCGACATTACTAAATGAGAATACACCTCCAAGTACCGCGCCTTCGAATAATAAGCATCAACATAGTCCTCCGGTTTTTCTCTCTTGAAATTTATGGCTGATATTGCATGGTTGCATGGGATTCCTGTCAAGGCATACTTTCTACAAGAACATGTCTTCTCAACCAAGTCAACCACATATTGCTCCCCCTCCAGCATCAACTTGAAATTTAGAGCCCCCTAACCATTGTGCAATGCATCTCCACTTTGAATTTTGGCTTCCTCCAACTTTTTCTTGATTTTAGGACAGAGATCTCCAACTTTGTTCACCATTATATCCTTTCTCATCTGAATTCTTTTTATCAAGAGTGTGTGAATAAGGAGCAACATGGTGACAATAGGTTTTTGTCTGGGTATAAGTATGACAGCATTGAAACTTTCACAGAGATTGTTCAGCAACATGTCACACTTGGGATGTGTTTCAAAATGGGACTTGCTCCAATGATGTGCAGGCAACTTCACCAACCAATCGTAAGCCTTTTCATCGAGCTTCTTCATATCCTCCATTGCTTTTTTGAAGTAGGGAACTGTTGTTGTTCTAGCTACTGACCATAAAGCATCCTTCAATGTTTTCCCTTTGAACAGATTTCTGAAGTTGGTATACAAATGTCTCATACAAAATCTGTGGTGGGAATTAGGAAGGACTTTTTTAAAGGCCGGAATTAACCCATTTTGCTGATCACTGATAAATGTCCATCCCCCTTGATTGACAATCCTAACATCAACGGCCAATAACTCTAAGAACGAAATCCAACAGGACTTATTCTCCATTTCTACAACTGCATACGCTATAACTCATGTTTCATCATTTGGGTCAATGCCAACAGCACAAAGTAGCTAACCTCCATATACACTCTTTAAATGACACACATCTAATCCTATCAATGGCATGCACCCTAACTTAAACCCCTCTTTACAAGCCCCCAAGCACACATATATCCTTTGAAACCTCCCCCTATCCAACTTCACCTTCACTGTGCTTCCAGGGTTAGTCTTCTTCACTTCCTCAGCAAAGTCCCACAACTTTGTATACTGCTCTGCATGTTTTCCCTCAATGATCTTTAAAGCCCTATCTAAAGCCCTGTAAGCCTTCCTCTTTGTACAACTGTGATTCCACTCTGATTCGACAGTTGCCAAAAAGGAATCCACATGCCATGTGGGATTCCGTTTTATCTTGTCCATGTACAAATCAGTCAGCAAAGGGGACTTCATGTTCTTGTTTGCCCAAGTTCTCCACAGGTGTGTTCATCAAGTATGGTCTTGATTTGTATGTTGTTCGAACCATACATTTTTCCAGCACAACACTTCCAAGGGCACCCTTTTGCACACTTTACTATGACTTTCAATTTCTCATTCCTAGGAAAATGGATTTCTCCATATCCATTCACTAGGGAGTACATGATGACAGCTCGCTTGAATTGGACATGATCCCTGAAAACAAGCCTGAGTGTAAGAGTGGGATTCTTCATATCTGTTTTCTCATTGAACTCTGGAAATCACTCATGTTTTTTGCCTCCTTCATCATCCGAAAAGTGTACACTCTCAAGAGCATCGGAGTTATAGTCTGGATCATCAACCACATTCTGTTCCACATTTGCAATATCAAATTCTTCTTCCTTTTGCTATTCTTCTCTTTCCTGGCTTTGCTCAGATTGCCTTGCACTTCTTTGCTCAGAATGCCTTGGACTTGCACTTCTTTGCTCATATTGCCTTGCAATTCTTTTCTTTGCTCAAATTTCCTTGAATTTGCACTTCTTTGCTCAGATTGCCTTGCACTTCTTTGCTCAGAATCCATTTCATCAAACTTGGAAAACACTGGGTTATCGGCATCACTCCCATATTGACTCTCTTCAAAGTCACTATCATCTTCTTCAGTAGTTTCTTCATTCTCTTCTTCAACATTCCCATCTCCTACATCCCCCTCGCCTACATCCCCTCCAAACTAATAGGTACATCAAAGAATACTTCAGTATCCCCCTCGCCTACATCCCCATCAGTATCCTATTCTCCTACCTCAGCCACAGATTTCCCCTTACTCTTATTTGGCCTTTCACAATTTTTCTCTTTCTGACCATTACCTTCTTCAACATTTATCTCTCATACCTCAGTCACACATGTTTGCACTACTTGAGATGTGCAACAATCATCCACTTTTGGCCCTAGCTAGCAAGCCTTTATATATTCTTGGTTTAAGTGTTGATGGCCCAACATCTTCCTCTGAACTACTTGTCTCATCAATAACCACTTTACTTGGACCTGGACTTCCATGGAATTCAGAAACTGTTGCTCTTGGGTTACGGCTTCTTCTGTCATTAATTCTTCAATGTACATCTCAATCACTTTGTCTTTTGGAACAAAATTGCACATGGACAGAACATCGGAATCACTTTGAATCTGCTTCAAACCATTGGAAAGGTCCATGTTGGGAATCTTGAAATAATAGTTCATGAACCGCTCAATGTATCCAACTACCTCCACCATATCATCTATCACCGGCAGTGACATGAGGTATTTATCACAGTTATCTATATATGTCACTTTTCCCCCAACGTACATGTCATAACTTATCTTCCCACCATGATGTAATTCAATAGATAATAGTTCTGGAACAACTGAAATTCACAAAAACAAACCCTAATGAAAAGCCAACAACAAATATAAGCAATTGCATTTTAACCTAAAAAACCATTCTATATGCAACTAATGCACAACATTCTATATGCAACTAATTGCATTTTAAAAGCCAACAACAAAAACCAATGCACAACATTCTATATGCAATTGCAACAAACCACAACTATATGCAAACAGCCAAAGCACATTAACCATTTCTCAACAACAACAAACCAAGCAACAAACCACCTTATCTTCACAAGAATAAACAAAGCAACAAATCAACAAACCCACTATCCAACCACCTTATCTTCACAACAATAAACAAAGCAACAAAGCAACCAACCCATTATCCAACAACTCAATAACCATTTCGAATTAAGAAAGCATAAACCGCCTTTTCAAACAAGAATAAACAATGCTAGAAGAATAAAAAAAAAACCCACATTCAACCCATTCCAACACCGTAAGAACCGTTTCGAATTAACAAAGCATAAACCACCTTTTCAAACAAGAATAAACAATGCTAGAAGAATAAAAAAAACCCACATTCAACCCATTCCAACACCGTAAGAACCGTTTCGAATTAACAAAGCATAAATCCACCTTTTCAAACAAGAATAAACAAAAAATAAGCACACTACACATTTGGAACCATCAAAAGCATAAAAAACTTACAATAGGTAGGCGTCGTTTCATCGGGATTATCGCGCATGTACCACCCCATGGCGAATCCTTCGAAGCCAATGGAACCCAGATGAAAGCCCTTTCCAACACCAACGAAGTTGAGGAAGCGAGTCGACAAGATGATTTGGGTTTTTCGCTGAATTTCTGATCTGACTGATCGAGATTTGGAGTCGCGAGAACTAGGGTTAGGGTTCTTGATTTTCTGGATTTGGGAATGGGGAATTAGATCGACAGGATTTAGGTATCGGGGGGAGGGAAAACAATTCGATTGGCACACTTTACAACGTTCCCTTACATTTTTAAAAAAATTTAAATTTAAATTTAAATTTTAATGGAATATCCACGTGTCGTCATTTGAAAAAGCCACGTGTATTAGAAATCTAGCTGGATGCCATTTGGCGGGAAAACATTGGGTGTGGTGCCACGTGGAATCCATCTAGGCGAGGATCTGGGCCCCAGATCAAGCCATGTCAGCATTTAACTGACCAATTCACGGACAAGCTAATAGAGGTATAACATTGGACCAAAATTCTAAAGATGAGGTATGACATTGTCAATTTTAAAAGATGAGGTATGAAAGTGTCTTGAGGGTAATAGTTGAGGTAGTTTTTTGTACTTTACCCTAAAATTTTACTTACAGGGCCACTCATCTTTGTCTTGTCTTCACCCTCCAGGTTTTATTAGCTGAACTTTATTATCGTCGAAGATTCGTGGCGATTCTTAGTATTGGAGATTATTTCGAGGGTACGATTCTTAATTTACTCTTCTGTACTTGCTTATGTTCTAACGTCACGTGTGAAGTAGATTCATTCCCGCTCATCGGTGCACTCTGGTATTTAGGCAGTCTTAGGTTTAAATTTATTCACAATCTTCCACATCATCACATTTTATGGATTCGTCACCTTCCAGGTGTCGGCCAGCACAACTCGATTCGGAGTCCTAATGGACAGTCCGGGTCGTGGCGTGTCATATATGTATGTGTGTGTGTGTGTGAAATTGTATTAAAAACTTATGAATTTTTCTATTATTTAGATTAAGGGTATTTTAGTAATCATATTAATTTTCATTCCGATTCAGGTGAACTAGTAAACAACTTATATGAATTTTGTTTCATTTTTACTCCGATTCCAGAACATTTAAGTAAACAGCTTTAACATGAATCTGATTCTAACTCCTCCTCAATCAAATTCCTCTTCAATCTAATTCCTCTATTTTGTTTATGGTTACGTAAACGCGCCATCAAAGAATTGAAATACCTCCCTCATGTAGGGAGTCCAATTCCTCCAAAATTAGGAGTTGGATTCCTTAATGCGTATGGACCCCACATGTATTTTGATTCCCCAAGATTACGTAAACAGAGATATATCCCGCAATCGGAATTCAATCCTGTAAATTGATTTCGATTACAGGTGACATTAATGTCAACTATATCACTGTACTAAAAAAAAAAGAGAGTTGAAAAGTCCTAAAAACTAGTGAAATTGTAATAAAACAAAGACAAACACATTAAAAAGCGGAGTGCTGTTAGATAATTAAAAAAAAAAGGAAAATAAAAGAAGCGTGGTTGAAGGAACTGTCACTCTTTCAACGAACACGTAAGACACCATATCGTAGCATCTCACTCTCAATCCAAATACCCAGAGAACGATTCCCAACGCAAAAACCATTTTCTTCAACCGAACGGATCCCGCCACTCTCTCCCGCCCGCCCTCCCTCCTCAATTTATGGCCACCGCTATACACCTACGCCGGCTCGGAGCCGCCGCCGTCGTTGCTACGGCAGCCAGCGGCGCCTTTCTCCTCCAGCCTTCGCTCTCCGCCAGCGACCGCGGCGCCGGGTCCTCCTCCCTCGGCGCTGTCCGCCAGAGGATCAGCGACCCGAATGCTGTCGTTCCGTCTAGGGCGGCTCAGGAGGCCGCTCTGATTGGCGCGAGTGCTGCCAACCCGCTCGACATTCTCGTGATTGGCGGTGGCGCCACCGGCTGCGGCGTCGCCCTTGACGCAACCACCAGAGGCCTCCGCGTCGGCCTCGTCGAGCGCGAGGACTTCTCTTCTGGAACGTCGCGGTCCACTAAGCTAATTCATGGAGGTAGGCGTATAGCGTATATACATACATGTATACGTATCCATATCCGTATCCGTATACATACAATTCATACTTCTCTGTATATATTGTGTTGCGTAATTAATTGCATTACATGGACCTCCCTGTCGTCTCAATTTGTCATTTCCGGTCCTTAAAGTAGCTGTTGACGTTTTGTTTTGTTTCGGTTGTCGTTTTGGCCTCCCGTTAGCATTTGTGTGGTTGAAGAGAAATTGAGCTGCAGGAGTGGATCAATGTACAAAACCGTTGTAATTTCGTTAACTTTGTAGATTGATGCATTATAGCGTTGTGTACATTGATCTTAACTGTAAATCGAGGCGGATTCATATTGCTAAGATAAATGTTAAATACCAATTGAATTGGCTGTAAGATATGACATGATGTTCGGCTTTTTTCGTTTGGATTTAGTAACCATTGAGTTGTCTAAAAAGATTTTGAATATTTTAGTTTCTAATAGGTAATTGTTTATAATTAAGTTTTTGACTTCCGTCTTGGCGGGTTATGTAAAATTACTATCTTGGTTGCTTATGCAAGATGATTATTATGTTAGGTGTTCGGTACTTGGAGAAAGCTGTTTTTAATCTTGACTACGGGCAGCTGAAGTTGGTATTTCATGCGCTTGAGGAGCGTAAACAGGTTATTGACAATGCACCGCACCTCTGCCATGCTTTGCCATGCATGACACCATGTTTTGACTGGTTTGAGGTAGTATACTACTGGATGGGCTTGAAAATGTACGATTTGGTTGCAGCACTACGGCTCTTACATGTGTCCAGATATTATTCTGCACAAGAATCTGTTGAGCTCTT